ATTACTGTAAATGTGAGGATGAGTGGATGGAGATGGATATATATATATATATATATATATATATATATATATAACAAATATATATAGAATAAAAACAAAGAAATCAAAAAACCAAAATTGATGATTAGATAGATAGATAGATAGATAGATAGATAGATAGATAGATAGATAGATAGATAGCAGGACAGAAGGGACCCCAAAGGCATCCAAACACCAAGAAATGGATGGAATGAAAGAAAGATAGGTAGATAGTTGGACAGAAGAGACCCCAAGGGTATCCAGATAGATAGATAGATAGATAGATAGATAGATAGATGAATATGATAATTTATAATTATCGATGGTCCAAACCCCAAGGCATGCCCACACATCATGGGGGGATTGAGATTAGGTGTAGATAGTTGGACAGAAGAGACCAAAGGCATCGAAACGCCAAGAGATGGATGGATTGAAAGAAAGATAGATGATAGTTGGACAGAAGAAAACCCAAAGGCATCCAGATCGATCCATAGATAGTTTGGATGCCTTTAGGGTCTTATCTGACCATCCTAGGTAGGTAGATAGATAGATAGATAGATAGATAGATAGATAGATAGATAGATAGGATGGTCGGATAAGACCCCAAAGGCATCCAAACTCCCAAGAGATGAAAGGATGGATGGATGGTCAGAAGACATCCCAAAGGCATCCAAACGCCAAGAAATGGATGTCTATCTACCTATCCTTTCTTTCAATCCATCAATCTCTTGCCGTGGGTGGATAGGTAGGTAGGTAGGTAGATAGATAGATAGATAGATAGATAGATAGATAGATAGATAGATAGATAGATAGATAGCTGGACAGAAGAGACACCAAAGGCATCCAAACCCCAGGAGATTGATGAATTGAAAGGAAAGATGGATTGAAAGGTTGCCGTGTTAAGGAGCAAAGAAGTTCATGTGCCCAATACAATTGAGAAGATACAAAACCAACCCTAGGCTTCGTTCCTTCATCTCAAGCGGAGTCTAGAGTTCGAATTGGTGGTTGAACAGGGCCCAACATGGAAGAGGTATAGGAGGATGTCATAAACAAGACATTTAGATGGTAAATAGATTGGTAGGTAGGAGAAGGAGAGGTAGATAAAGAGCTAAATGGATGGATGGACGGACGGACAGACAGATGGAAAAGACCTCAAAGTTACCCCAAACCCAAGAGATGGATGGATGGATGGACAAGACCTCAAAGGCATGCAAACACCAAAAAATGGATGGAATGAAAGAACAATAGATGGATAGCTGGACAGAAGAGACCCCAAAGGCATCCAGATAGATAGATAAGATAGATAGATAGATAGATAGATAGATAGATAGATAGATAGATAGATAGATAGATAGATACATAGATAGATAGGTAGATAGATAGATAGATAGATAGATAGATAGATAGATAGATAGATAGATAGATAGATAGATTGGTCAGGTAAGACCCCAAAGGCATCCAAAACTCAAGAGATGGATGGAATGAAAGAAAGATAGATGGATAGTTGGACAGAAGAGACCCGAAAGGCATCCAAACACCAAGAAATGGGTGGAATGAATGAAAGGTGGATAGTTGGACAGAAGAGACCCGAAAGGCATCTAGATAGATAGATAGGATGGTCAGATAAGACCCCAAAGACATCCAAACTCCAAGAGATGGATGGATGGATAGGTATCTGGACAGAAGAGACACTAGCAGCATCCAAACTCCAAGAGATTGATTTATTGAAA